TCGCACTTGGGGTTCCTCCAAGGGCCGGTTTCTCAATAGAAACTCACCCCCAGGTTGAGCATAGCTCCAGGGTAAACATTGCAACTGGACACACTTACCCTGGAGTTAAAACCAACCCGAAGGTGACTCGCTATTGAGACACTGGCCCCAAATAGTTTAATTTACTTTATTTTTGCCCGTAATAATAGGCTCGTTTGATGAGCTAACTTTTGTATGCCACCTCCTGCAGCATAGATTTCTGAACTTCGTCGTACTGAATAGGGAAATACTAAGGGAAATACCCATAAACCATAAAACAAGCATAAATATCTGAGGAAATATCGGAGTATACTCCGATATTTCAAGAAGGACCTAGGTTTCTCTACTTTTTTGAGTTGACAATAAATTAACAATCTTTATTTAAAGAATTATCAATAAAAAGCCAAAAAGTTTCACATAAAAACCAAAAAGAATTCACCCTTAATCCAAGTTATATGGAAAAAAGGGAAACTACTATAAGTAAGAAAAACTTCTTTATGTTGACTGTTTTCAGAAAAATATGGGAAATTACTGAGGGTGAGGGAGAAAGATGCCAAAAGAAGAGAAAACAAAACAAATAAACAAAATGAAAGAAGTAATAGAAAAATTGAGAAAAAAAATAGAGAGAAAAATAGTAAAAATTAAGAAAAAAAGAAACTTAAAAAATACTAAAACTGCAAGAAAAGCTAATCTGCAAAAAGTACAAAATGTAGACTAATTGAGGATTGATGATGAAACATCATAATCTCGATCACAATCAACAAAGTCATTATCTAGCCTTCATGATTTAGAAGGTGGAGAGGAATATTTCAATGAAGCAGAAGAGCAGCTTGAAAAACTTGAAGTAGATTGGTAATATGCAGTTGCCTACTCTAACAAATACCACATTGGAAAATTGACAAAAGTATAGAATGTCAGATAACTTTTTTAGAAGTCTTTAGATGGCCTAAAAATCTAGACCTGGACCTTGTAGAAAAAATATATATTATATATGGTCCAATGTCCAATGTCCAATCCATTTTAAAAACTTGAGTCGCAAAAAATTAACAACATTTCCAAGGAAATAAAATCCTAATTTGAGTACTAACTAAAGTACTTTTGTATCTATCTCACAACAATTTTTTTTTTATTCATCATCATCTTCCTGTATCATTAATTAAAACTTTTATCTGTCACTACGTAAGATGATTTTTTCAAATTCAAACACCCGGTATATATTTTAAAAATTTCGATTCCATAGGGGGCGCAGAGAAAATTCATGTTTCAAGTGTGATGCACAACTTTCAAGAGCGGTTGAAGATGTGCGCCCACAAAGCAGGGTGACACTTGACTGACATTATTTTCCATCATTAATTTAAAAGCGCACTATTATTATTTCATTTAGCTGTAATTGAAAATAAAAAATGTTATGCTTGTAGGTACCTACGTGAAAAACATGCGTTTCCTCTGGGCCACCCTGTATAGGGTGTCCCATTTTGGTTGTACGTAAGGGATAACCCGGTTGCTATTAGAGTTATAGGAGGATGCGGTTTTTGTGAACGGTGGTTACTTTTCTACCAAACAAAAGATGCCGTCGACAGAATTGTCATTTTTGTTTTTCAGATACATGGTGCTCTTGAAAATGTTGCATTTTGGGACAGCCCTTGGTATCTCAGTGCTGAGTGCTCAGATGACAACTCGGGTGACAATAGATTCTTATAGATCTTTTTATGTAGATTTCAGTGGCGTAGTCAGTTTTTCTCTAGAAGTGATAGTTTATGAGACCTTTATCATTTTCCTCACAGATTTAAAGTTTTTTTCAAACACATTGTTGTTTATAACAAAAACAGAGATAAATAGACCTATCGAACTTTATATTATTGAAATCAGCAAATGCAGAACTATCCGATAAGTTTTAAACATACAGTGCGTCTCATATGAAAAAAGTACCTATGTTTGGTACATAATTGAAAAACTCTAACTTCTAGAGAAAAACTGACTTCGCCATTGGAATCTCTGTCGAAAGATCTATAGGAACTCGTTAATTGCCACCTTTTGGAACACTTATGAGAGGATCGAGATAAAAAGGGTGTCCCAAAATGCAACATTCTCAAAAACACCTTGTAACTGAAGAACAAAAAGGGGTATGACAATTTTGTTGACGGCAACTTTCGTTTGACAAAAAAGTAGCCAACGTTCGCAAAAGCCGCATCCTTCTAACTTTAATAATAGCAACAGAGATATCCTTTATGTACCTACAACCAAAATAGGACACCCTGTACAACTTCTCAATCCGAGTAATGTGTAAAAGAGAGATAAAAATACTGACTATTCTTAACACATTAGGTCTGTTTCCACAAAAATCACAAACCAGTCAGAGCATTTTTGATTGGTCCAAATCGCCAACAACCAGTTTCCTGACTATTTTCAACCAATGAAATTCGCTTTGACTGGTTTGTGATTTCTGTGGAAACAGACCTATTGATTATGGTGATATTTTTTAATTTGTTAAAATTAGAGAGAAAATGTAGTTTTGATATTTTGTTGTTTTGTTCTAACCCAATTAATATACATAGTCTTTACACAATCATTCACAATCCTTACATAATCAGTCACAATCACCCACAATCACTCACAATTGTGACACAAACAATCACAATCACTCACAATTATTCACAATCCTTACACAATCAGTCACCATCATTCACAATCATTCACAATCGTACACAATCACTCACAATCGTACACAATCACTCACAATCTTAGCAAATTTCCTTAAAGATTGTGGAATTTGGCAGTCGGTGTATATATTTTGGGCCAGCTATTCACCCCTCGGAGTAGAGAAACGCGACAAGTTTCTGAAATCTCTGGCTATAGTGGTAAAAAATATTGGGTATAACCTCGGGTATAACCATTGAGGTAGAATAATAAGGAGGCGACATAAGGAGAAAAAAGCGTATCCACTTCCGCCATATTGTTACGACACTTCTGTCTGGGATTCTGTCACTTTTGTCATAGCAACGCGTCAAAATTGCATCAGGGTCGTATTTTCAATCCGAAGATTTTTTAAATGCGAAACATTTTTGAGGCCTAGAATTCCTATTTTGGGTCTTGGAAGGATCTTCGGTTTCAGTATGTTGAAGTTTCTGTAGCAACTTTTTTTGTCTTGGTGTAATCTCGATTTTTTCACGTTTTTAGATAAAAATCATAAAGAATCCATTTAGTGCGGCTCTCTTCATATTGGTCCGACACTTAGCGACGCCTACCGATGCCGTTTTCTATTGCACTATTCAAATGATGACAGCGTTTCCTTATTATTCTACCTCAATGGGTATAACATGTACTTGATTTTCAAGCACATTTTTGTAGGTGGTCACTTCCAATGTTCCAATAATTTCTCCTTGGTCTTGTCCATTTGGTTACATCTTGTATTTATCTCGTTTTGCTCTCGTTCTTTCCGCCGTACGCCGTATTTTCTCATGTCTTGTCGTTTATTTCAACTGTTCTCATTCCGATGTAGTATCAGTATCAGTAAATTCCTTTAAAGTTGCGCCAATGAAGGATCGTTTTTTGCGATATCCTTGTTCCATCTCAGATATGGGAATAGATAGCAGTGAGTATTTTTACTGAATACTCAGTTTCTAAAAAAAAAGTGCAGTATTTTGCCATTACGTTTGCTTGATATCACATTAGAACTCATTTGGTTTTAGAAATATTTTGTAACCTTTACACTGTTGTCAATATTGTGGCTTTATTCTTATCATAATATTCTCAATAATTGTTATACACAATTTACTATTTTTCTCAACAATAATTTTCAAAAAAAACCTTGATTTTTCCCTAAAAATAATCATCTTCACTAGAATCAGGTACCTCAGGTAAAAATTCACAGTTTAAAACAAATCTGATTGTTGCGTGCCTTCTGGAAAAACCATGTAAATTTCTCCAATTATCGATTTAAATTGCCGATAAGAATAAGGAAATTCGTGAATGTGGGCCATAAAGGAAATTATGATGAAAATAGATAATAATCTAGATTGTATGAATATGGATAATCCAATGCCTATAACTCTTAGATTTCACAGACCCATTAAAACTTCTCTAGGCTCTGGAATCTAGACATTATATAGCCTTTATGTAAGTCTGCTGTTTAGCACCTAAAAGTTCAGGTGTTATGATTTGACAATGGCAATAACTTTGTTTATAACGCTTATAGTATAGAAATAAAACATGCTACTAAAAAAAACAAGAACCTGAGAGGCAACCTTTCTAAAATGGAATTAGACTAGTCGCTGTAACGTTTTCAAGAACGGTAACTGAAGAGGTCACTTGCACCGGTGCAGCCGAAGAAGCCCAGTTTTCGCTTCATTCTTTAGTTCGACTGTAAATTGTGGTAAACCTAAACAGCAGGTGTGTGCGAGAATGAGAAATAATGATACCCTTTGCAAATTCAGGCACGTTTTGAGCTAGAATAACATTTTGTAACACACAAGTTCAAAGTAATTTTAACTTAAAACATCCCTGACATTGGAGCTTGCAGCTTTAATTGCAGAGAAAACACAATGTTGCAACAATGTCAGCGTCATATAAAGCAAGAATTTCAACTATCAGTCTTGATTAGATTTTCAGATTATGTACCATATTATACAATGTTGTCAGACAAATGAGCGCGCAATATTTCTTTATTAGTCTTTATTGTCTTAATTTCTGCTTCTTGGCTGGGCAATTTGGGCACAATTTAGATAAGATTTTTGGCCAGACTCTCTGTTACTGGCAATTCTAATCACCATTTGGCAAAGTGATCGCCATTTTTAAGAGCCAACTATAGGATTAACGTCAGTATTTTTCAAAGTTGTCCATACTCTAATCTCAAGAACTGCTCACTTTAATTTAAATTTTGTCTTTGAATGCAGCAACTATGAATTATATTTTTACTTTTTGAATATTTGAGGCCGATGAAACACTAGAAAAATAATTTTCATGAAACTCGTTGCAAGAAATAGAAAAATCTGTTTCATTATCGCACGACTCATAGATTGAAATGCGAGGCGGAGCTGAAGGCGGAGCACACTGGCGTTTCTGAAACACGAAAGCAGAAATTATTGGGCATACAAATTTCGTAGCCGTGTTTGCGTTGTTTCGGAAATTCAGTCCGTCTTGGTATTCGAGAGTGTATACATGTGATTTTATATTTGTGAATCCAATAATATTATTCGGGTATTTCTATGAAAATGTCGAAAGACGGTAACTTTGAAATTAAGTTAATACAAACGGTGGAACAGTATCCATGTCTGTACAATTTTCTACTACCTGAATACAGTCGTCGTGAGGTTGTTGGTGCGGCATGGGAAAAGGTGTCAAATGAAATGAATGCAACGGGTAAGAATTTTTCTTTTATTATTTTATCAACTACGCAGTAGAATTTTATATAATTCGAGACAGGCAATCCCTTAATCCATTTGCATTAGTGAAGTTTCTTGGCATCTCTCCAATTTCAACTTCATTTGCGAACTTAAGTTATACATCGCTGTCCGTAACAAAATTGTTTGTTTCCATAACAATGCCCCTCATTTTTGCGAATATAATTATTGTGTTGCGACCAATCCTAGGTACATAGTTGTAAAATAACCTAACCATCAACATCTGCACAAGCCATAAGCTGTTCAGAAAAATAGCCTTTTGATAGTTTTAATATTTCTATACTCTGTTTCACATTATAACGTTCAGCTTTTCATAGATGTTGAAAACAAGTTCATATCACGTTGCATGTCTCTGAAATCACCTTTTCAATTATTGTTGAAGCTTCTCTCTTTTAGTTATATCCCAAGTGTTTAAAATACATTTCCCTCAAGTTTAAGAGATGCCTAAAACACAAAACTCAATATTGAATTTTAATAAAAATATGGTACAAACACATCATTATATTATTTCAATAATTATTCTTTTTTTTTAGTTGAAAACTGTAGGAACACGTGGAGAATGCTGCGCATATCCTACACCAGAGCTACTAAATTACCTCCAAATGGAAGTGCCAGGAAATTAACCCAAAAAACAAAGGATATTATACAGGCAATGGATTATATAAGAGGTTATGTAGATGCAAAACGCCATGAGTTACCAAATAACTCAGCGCCTCTTCCGTTTCCAGACACCCAAGATGGTATTTCAAATGAATCAACTGAGTTTGTAGACAATGCTTATAATGATATTGATGAAACTGTGTTGCAAGCAAGTGTTGTACAGCCATCAGTCAAAAAGTTTAAAAAAACACAGAATTCTGGAAGAGACACGGCGGATAATATAACCACATTGCTGCAGTATATTAAAAGCAGAAAACAACGTGAGCCTGAAAACCCAAGGCGACAATTTCTGTTGAGTTTGCTGCCGGACTTAGAACAGATGAATGAAAGACAAATGAGATTCTTCCGTAGTAAAGTAAGTGGTCTAATAGATGATATTTTGGACAGCGAGTATGGACCAACTTCATCGCAACCGCCTTCTGTGGCAAACTGAGCACTCGATCTTCAATCACCAAAATCATCTCACGCAGAGGAAAATTCGATCGACAACTGTGATTGAATAAAAATTAACTTTATTTATATACTTAGAAGACAATAAATAATAATAACAAAAAATTCTTACCTAAATGTAATCAGAAGTCTGCCTTATGTGAGTTTCCTTTTTTTTTGTAATCAAAGGTCTAATCATTTCAAATAAATAAGGTAATAGTTTTGTATGGTCATCCTGTATAATTCTTCAAATTTTTCAAAATCTTGTCGCAATTCTCCATACCCACAACACTAGCGCTATTATATTTTCAGGTATTGACGTTAGCAGGATGCACCCAGAAACGCCTTTTCCTCTTTGCTTGTTGTTTTTTTTTTCGGCGGTTAACCACCACAACAAAATTCCGTCTTCATGCGAGGACATCGCGGAAAAAACTTATAACTTGGCTACTGGGGGCCGATTCTCGGGCTAGGGAGTAGAGCTCCCCGATAGCACGAATGTTTTGTCCTTGTCAACGTTATCGAAAAGTGAACGAGAATGATAAAGACAAAAAATTTCTTCTCTCGGGAAGCTCTACTCCCTGGCCCGAGAATCCGCCCCCTGGTCTGTTTCTACCCCGGTTTCTACCTTACGGTAAACCACCTAGGAATTCTTTGCCAAAAATGTGGGGAATTTAGAGGACTTTGTGGGAAATTTAGAGGAATTGTGGGGAATTTGAAGGAACTCTTCGGAATTTATAAGAATTTGGGGAATTTATAGGGAATTTGTAGGAATTTTTCTTGGTACCGAGATGCGCAAAACCAAAGACAATGGTCAAATTTGAAAGAGGCCTATATCCTAAGGATAGAAAACGGCTGACAATGGAAATGGATTGTAGGAATTTTTATGGAGAATTTGGAAGAATTTGTGAGGAATTTAAATGGAATTGTAGGGTCATGACGTCACTGAGGTTCACATTCTTATTATTAAGTCTGTTTTTGCAGAAATCGCAAACCAGTCAAAGTGAATTTCATTGGCTGAAACTAGTTTTCTAACAGTTTCTGACTGTTTTCAACCAATGAAATTCGCTCTGACTGGTTTGTGATTTCTGCAGAAACAAACCTATAAGAAATAGTAATAAATGAAAATTAAAAAAATATATAGTTTTGTGTTGGGCGTTGGATATTCATTTTTATTGAAGAAATCCTACCAAAATTACACTTCATGATTTACAGATTCAAATTTAAAAAGTTCAAAAGACTAATGAATACAGTTTTTGTAGGCTGATTTCCAAGATTTTTCATGTTGTTATTTTCCACTGAAAAAATTTGAAATTTCGAGAAAATGAGCTTCTCACCTTCCTTTTTGCATGCAAAAAGTTTCAAAATTTTCCCTTCAGTAGTTTTCCAGGAAAACTTTGAAATGTGCTCGGAAATGTGTGAGACTGTATTTTCAATTAATTCAGTTATTGTAGGTCGATTTTCAATATTCCTCATGTTGTTATTTTCCACTGGAAAAATTTGAAATTATGGGAAAATGAGCCTCTCACCTTCATCTTTACATGCAAAAAGTTTCAAAATTTTCCCTTCCCTAGTTTTCCAGGAAAACTTTGAAATGTGTGAGACTGTATTTTCAACTAGGTAATTCAGTGTGTAGGTTGATTTCGAAGATTTTTCATGTTGCTGTTTTCCACTGGAAAAATTTTAAATTTTGGGAAAATGAGCTTCTTACCTTTCTCTTTACATGCGAAAACTTTCAAAAATTTTCCCTTCACTAGTTTTCCAGGAAAACTTAAAAATGCGTGAGACTGTATTTTCAATTAATTTAGTTATTGTAGGTTGATTTTCAATATTCCTTAAGTTGTTATTTTCCACTGGAAAAATTTGAAATTTTGGAAAAATGAGCTTCTCACCTTCCTCTTTACATGCAAAAAGTTTCAAAATTTTCCCTTCACTAGTTTTCCAGGGAAACTTTGAAATGTGTGAGACTGTATTTTCCTCGGTATTTTCAATTACAGTATCCGCCAAAATAAACAGTACTGAACATATAAATTATATCATTTATTAATTTGTAACATGCGTATATGTTCAAAAAATGCATCATAGCGACGCAAAAAAGCTTTATAACGATTCTGCAAATCATTGAAAATATTTATTAAGAGTGGATGCTGAAATTTTTCTGAGACTTGCTTCAAAATTGAGCCTTTATTCCTTCCAAATCCGTATGAACGGAAATAGTACTCTACTAAGAAAACAGCTTTCTCCAGTTGAAAGATACATAATCACGAAGGTTTTTAAGCGAAATATAATAAATGGAACTTGCGTGCGCAATTACTCAGAACTCTAGATTTCGGTACTGTTTATTTTGGCGGATACCGTAGTTCCGTTTTTGTAAGTTGATTTCCAAGATTCTTCATGTTGCTATTTTTTACTGGAAAAAATTTAAATTTCAGGAAAATGAGCCTCTCACCTTCCTCTTTACATACAAAAAGTTTCAAAATTTTCCCTTATCTAGTTTTCCAAGGAAACTTTGAAATTTGTGAGACTCTATTAATTCAGTTTTTGTAGGTTGATTTCCAAGATTTTTCATGTTGCTGTTTTCCACTGGAAAAATTTGAAATTTTGGGAAAATCAGCTTCTCACCTTCCTCTTTACATGCAAAAAGTTTCAAAATTTTTCCTTCACTAGTTTTCCAGGAAAACTTTGAAACATGTGAGACGGAGGAATTTGTGGGAATTTGGAGGAATTCGCAGGGATTTTAGAGGAATTTGTGGGGTATTTGGAGAAGTTCGTGGTGGGGTATTTGGAGGAATTTGTGATGGGGTATCTAGAGGAATTTGCAGGAATTTTGAGAAATTATGCGCAAAAAATTCCCCTTTGAGGAATTGTTTGCACCAATTCTGGGATAGTGGTTTACCCCTTGGTTTCTACAGAAATCCCAAACTAGTCAGAGTGAATTTTATTGGTTGAAACTAGTTTTCTGACTGTTTTCAATCAATGAAATTCCCTCTGACACGTTTGTGATTCCTGCAGAAACAGACTTAATAATTTGCGTAGTGAAAGTTATTTCTCCAGTGTATCACCTGCCTAACTAAAGCTAGTTTCGATAGCCAATACCCATTATGGGTGATCAATGAGCCTGATGAATAAATCATAAGCAATTGCTTTTTCTTAGATTTTTGGAGCAATTGCTTTTAATTGTATGAATAAAATGATAAGCAAATGCTAGAGCTCTAAGTAATTGCTTAGAGCACAAGCAAATGCTAGAAGATACAGCTTTTGCTTAAAATAAACAAGGTATTGCTAGAAACCGTATGAATAAAATTAGCTTTTGCTAAATTTTTAAAGCAATTGCTTAAAAATAGTTAAGGATGCCCTAAACCATACTTACAATAATTTTCAGTTGCGATATTAGTTTCATGCAGTGAGGAAGCATTTGCTCACCCATTACAAAATGGCCGAATGCATATATTTACGCAAAAAAAGTGTATTCTGGAGAAGAAATTGTCAAGAATGCGATTTTAAAAAACTTTAAAGGTTTAATTAAGCCAATGGTGAATGGTTAGCTAATCATTTACCTAATAGATGTTACAGGCGAAAGACATGGAGGAACACTTTCACCGCTAACTAAAATAAAAGTGTTTTTGCGATTTCTAACAGATCTTGGATATCAAAACTCAGTAGCGGAGAAAATTGGAATACACCAATCCACAATTTCCAAAATCAACAATAGTGTTATGAATTGCATCCTTGCATGGATTAAATTTCCAGAAAATATTGCTGAAATAAATGATGCAAAAGGGCAATGGTCAGAAAAATATGCATTTCCAAATGCAACACACACAACGTCCAACGCGGAATATATGTTCACTAGTGTAGATTGTCATTGGTCAATCCGTTCATAATAATGGAATTTTCAAAAATTTAAGCATTTATTGTTTTTGACAATTCTGCCGAAGAATGCTTACATTAAGGTGATGAGGTATCTGGAATAACCCCCTATTGGTAAATGATTCAATGGAGAAATCCTATCACCCCCAGAGCAACATCAATACAATACTTTGTTTTGTAGAGAACGAGTTATTATAGAACGTTGTTTTGGTGAAGTATCCTCTAGTTTGGTTTTATTTGTTAATTATATAGGTAAGCAGTTGCTAGAGAGATGTTGGATAAAGCAGCATTTGCTTAAAGATTTTATTCATATCAAAATCTAGCAATTGCTTTTGCTAAGTAGCAATTGCTCCAAGTAATTACTTGATTTTTATTCATCAGGCTCAATAAATCAAGTGTTAATCTGTTCAGTTAATTTTTGGATAAAGAACCAGTAACCCTTGCTTTGGATAATGTTAGTTCAAAAAAATTAGGACACTTGTTCAAAATGGTCAAAATTCGGTTCATGCAAGTAGGGCATTGTGCAGGGGTATTCACTCGGGTATTCAACTTGTATTTATAAAGGGCGGTAGTGAAGATTCGCTGATTGCGAGGATGCGAATACTGATGGGTTGGTCTTGGACTATTTTCCCGAGTATTTTCCCATCGCGTACTAATGGGTTGAGGCTGACAGATATTTTTAAAATTGATTCGTCTTTGGTTGGTATATGATTAGATTGCTGAATGCTGGGCTACTATAACTACTACTGCTCTGGTTTCTGACCTTTCTGGTAATAAAAGAATTAAGTTTTGTCTGGTTTTAATGGTACAGCAGTTGAAATTGTCAATTATTCTCTATTATCGTTGAGTTAGCATGACTCTTCAAATCGTGACCAAGTTCTTAGAATTTATACAATTTCCCCGGCCCAAAAATAATGCTTCATTGGTCATTTCCGAAATGCCTACTTAATCTAATATCTAATTTGCGAGACGATCACGTCTCTAAAATAAGGTAAAATTGAAATTGGAGAATTAAATCCTCACCTCACAGATATTTCGCTTATAATGACAAGTAACTCTTGACCTTTGCCAGGGTACGACCTTTGCTTGTAATGGTTGTATTTAAAACACAATGGTGCGTGAAAGATCATTTCTTGGAATTAGATTATTATCCTCCACAAGGACGTCAAGTCTAGTCTAAGCTTAAAATACCAACAAATTTGTACACATTTTCAGTTTGCCTGTCAAGACCAAACGCCTGGCAATTTAATTTTAAAAATTCGCAAATTGCACAGAAAGGAAAATCCTGATCCTGATTTTACCGGCGACCAATTTGTAATATCGAAATTTGAACCGTTGCGCTTAGGGGCTTGATGGATGGATAGCCGAGGGTCGCAACGCAACTTCTCTCTTTTCGTCCA